CGACGCGGTGCTGGAGGCGCTGCTGGGCGCGCGCTTCGACGTGAACGCGCCGCTGGCGCCCGAGCGCGCGCGCCTGTACGAGGACCGGCGCAGCTCGGCGCTCTACTTCGCCGTGGTCAACAACAACGTGCGCGCCACCGAGCTGCTGCTGGGCGCGGGCGCCGACCCCAACCGCGACGTCATCAGCCCGCTGCTCGTGGCCATCCGCCACGGCTGCCTGCGCACCATGCGGCTGCTGCTGGACCACGGCGCCGACATCGACGCCTACGTCGCCACGCACCCCACCGCCTTCCCCGCCACCATCATGTTCGCCATGAAGTGCCTGTCGCTGCTCAAGTTCCTCATGGACCTGGGCTGCGACGGCGAGGCCTGCTTCTCCTGCCGCTACGGCAACGGCCCGCACCCGCCCGCCCCGCCGCGCGCGGGCCGCTTCCACGACGCGCCGGCCGAGGACAAGGCGCCCGGCGCGGTGCAGGTGTGCGGGGCGGCGGGCGGGGCCGGGCCCGGGCCGGGCGAAGAGAGGGGGCCGGGGCTGGGGATGGGGCGAGGCGAGGGGGCCGGGGGCCGGGGCTAGGCGAGGGGGCTGCGGGGCCCGGGCCAGGGCGAGGGGGCTCAGGGGCCCCGGGGGCAGCGCCCCGGGCCAGGCCACGCCGACCACTGGCTTCAGCACCCATTCCGCTGACTCCAGCCCAGATCCCGAAGCGAAGGAACTTGTCAGTTGGCGCTTTCAGAGGTGGCAGAACTTCCTGGTTCGTCCAAACCGATTACAATCCCGCTTTGGGGACATTTAAAGAACCAACCGTCGAGCAAGGGATTGGTGGGAGCCCTGCAGAGCGGAGGGGCTCCTCACCCCTGACAAACCGCCACCTGCAAGGTTAAGACAGCAGCTAAAGCAGGCCTGAGGTTCCAGGAGGGGCGGGAAGCCAGTGACCCAGAGCCCGGACCCGCCCACGGCGTGTGGCTCTAGAAGTCATCACTTTACACCTGTAACCCCCGCCACTGAGGAGGCTGAAATCTGAGGAACTCAGGTCAAAGCCAGCCTGGGTGAAAAGTCCATGAGACTCTATCTCAGTTAACCTGCAAAAAGCCTGAAGAGGAGGTATGATTCAAGTAGCATGCCAGCCTTGAGCACAAAAGCTGTACAAGAGCTTGAAAAGTCAGCTAAAAAAAAAAAGACTACTTTTACTGTCAATTAATGATCAGCATTTATAGTCTACCTGTGTGCAAAGAAGTTTGGGTTCCTATTACCAGAAACCAGGTTTTGAACTCAAAGCCTCAAACTTGTTCAGCTTGCTTGCTCGTGGCTGACATTCTCCCACTTGAACCATACCTCTATCCCAGATTTTTGCTAGTTATTTGGAGATGGCATCTCACAGGTTTTTAGGCCTGGGCTGGCTCCAAACCATGGTCCTTATGGATCTCAGCTTCCTGAGTAGTTAGGATTACAGGCATGAGCCACTAGTGGCCTGGCTCTGAATGCTCATTTCTCAAAGTCCTCTTGAAGTGGATGTTTTACACCCATTTTATGATCAGGCCAAGTGGCCCGTGTGTGCTTTGGGCAGAGAGGCCTAGGTGTGGAGGGCATGTGTTTATGGATGTGGACCTAGCTAAGTGTGCTGGCGTTGGTTTTCAGTATCTTCCTGCTTCCCTAGCCTCACCTGTAGAACTAACGCGGTCCACCCTTTCAGTTCTGCGAGTTCCTCTCGGCCCCGGAGGTGAGCCGCTGGGCAGGGCCCATCATCGACGTCCTCCTGGACTACGTGGGCAACGTGCAGCTGTGCTCCCGGCTCAAGGAGCACATCGACAGCTTCGAGGACTGGGCTGTCATCAAGGAGAAGGCAGGTAGGCCGTGGCTGCTGCCACTGGCAGCTCCCCCCACCCGACACAGAGCTAAAGCCCCGGGCACGTGAGAGCTTCTGCATTGGGCCTTGCCAGACTCCTGCTGTCTGGGGGTCCCTTGCAGCATGTGGGCGCCTCCTTGGATGATAAATGGCACGTCATATGGGTCATTGCCACACAGCTGGGATTCCAAGTTACAGATACGAGTCATGCTAGCCCCACCATGGTTTGGACATCTTCCCACGCTGTGTGAAACAGTTCTGCTCCCAGGGGGCTATGGAATCTGTTTCCCGCACCTTGGGCCCCCTGAGAGGCAGTATGGGAGGGGGGGAAGAGGGGAAGGGCAGGGCATCCCCAGAGAGAACTCACAAAACACCCAGACATCTTGTCCAAAGGGCTTTTGGTTTGGCAGCACTACGAGCCCTTTCCATGGCCCCCAGGTGGTCCAGTGCCTCTGCTCCTCAGACAGTGGAGCAGCCTTGGTGTAGGGCCCCACAGCTGTGAGCTCACCTTGCCAGGCTCACACGGATGGCCTTGGGCAAGGCCATTCCCACTTGGATAAAGGAGGCTGGACAGACTTTTGGTCCAGTCGCCTGCTAGTTCTGCCAGCCTCTGGTGTGTGCAGGTGGTGGCGCCAGGCACAGGAAGCTGATGTGTGCTCTGTACAGGGGGCAGCTGTGCCAACTGGGATCCTTAATGCCAGGGTCTCGAATGCCAGTGTCCCTGCTAAGCACCAAACTCATCTAGGCAGGGTGCTGCAGTGCCCTGGGCTTTTATTGGGAAAGTGACCTGCTGCTCATTCTGGTTCAGTGATGCACAATGAAGCTTACCTGTTGAATGGGCTTCGGTCATTACTATCCCTGGCCACTAGAGGGTGGAGTAGTCCATACCTAGATGTGGGTCTCAGGCTCTGTCTTAGCTCTTCTCTTCCCCAGAGCAGGGTCATCGCACACAATCAAACCCTGACTGTATTGCAAATGCTAACGGACAAGCAGAACACACAGTTCTGAACCAACATCTACATTGCTCATTTAACCCCCACATCCCACCTATAATACTCTTCAACTGCTTTTGCGTTTGGTGCTCTGATGTTTATATTATTTGGGGAAGAAGGTAGAGAGAAGACCCTAGAGTTGGCAGGTAGCCCAGCCTCCATGTCCTGGTCCCCTAGTAGCCTCTACTTCCCCCTGCATCCCTCCACACCCTCCCAGAGGGTGTGGTTCTGAATCCAGAGGATGAGGCATGGGTGCCTGGCTAGGCATGCTCCAGCCACCAGCTCCTCTGCCCTCCTCCACACCCCTCACTTGGCCTCCAAGTAAATTACCCATTCCCTGGTGCCTGGTGCCTGCTCCTGCCTCCCATCTCCTCCTCAATGGACCCCACTGTGCGAGGCCGTCCAGGGGGGTCTGGAACACAGCTGAGAGGGACGCTGGGACTTGAGGGGAGCTGCCTGGTACTGCCCTCTCCCCCAGCCTCTTGTACCAGCAGAAGTCCAGAGCCAAAATCCATGCACAGTACACCCAAGAGGTCAAACTCTGTTTGGGATGCAGGTTGGGTGTAAAGAGGCTGCATTAGGCTGACCCAGAACATCTCAGGTAAGGCCCTGAGCCTCGCTTCCTTCACCAGAGGGAGGGAGGGCCCTTCGTCAGTTTCCTCACTACACAGACTGGGGTTACCATAGCAGGCACCCCACTCATGTCCAGCCACGCCAAATGGGTACCTCCCTTAAGCCACACCCTGTGTAGATGCAAACAACAGTCAGCATCACTTTCTTTTTTATTCCAGAACCTCCAAGACCTCTGGCTCACCTTTGTCGGCTGCGGGTTCGAAAGGCCATTGGGAAATATCGTATAAAGCTCCTAGATACGCTGCCTCTCCCGGGCAGGCTGATTAGATACCTGAAATATGAGAACACCCAGTAATGGGCCTCAGGGAGAAGGAATGGCCCTGCTTCCTTGATGTCTCAGGAGAGTGGTATCCTGTGTCCAGGGCACGCAGGGGCAGATGAGGCTGCAGGCCGCCCCCTCTGTCAGGGCAGCGGCAGTGACCTTGCTGGGCTGTGGCAGAGCTTTGCCCAGAGCGAGGAGCACAGTGTGTCAGTAGGAGAAGAATCATTTGTTTCAAACTGTTGTGTAGATGAGGCCTTCTCTGCCAGTGAGAAGGGCAGAGACCTCCACTGGGAGGCCAGGGCAGAGCCTGAGGTGGTCTGGGCAGGGCAGGCTCAGTGAGGCCCAGCTCCACTTGGACTGTGTCTGGAAGACTTGTGGAGATGAGTTTACTGTCCGGGATGACCTCATGCCCCTCTCGTCCTTGTGAACCCCTCCACTGGACTCTGGACTTTGCCCTCAAAGGTGGGGCCCAGCACTGGGAGAAAGGACCCAGGTGTGGCCCAGGGGGCTTTTCACTGAGTTCAAATAAATGTTACACACAGATGCTCTGCCCAGCCAAGTCCTTGTCACCAGACTCTCCCAGCCCCACTTGAAAGCCTTGCTCTTCTCAGGTCCTGTCTGTTCTCCCCCACAGTCACAGCTGATTGGCCAAGCCCTCCTGTGTGTCAGTGCTGATTGGTCGTGCCCTGCTCTGGTGTCAGTGCTAATTGGTTGGGCACTCAGAGTACCGTGTTTCACGTCCTATCACACCTGTCAAGGACTTGCTGCTGTCACCTTCTGCAGGAGGGCTTCCAGCGTCTGGGTTGTCACCCAGCATCACAAAACACCGACCATCCTGAAAGTATGGCCACCATGGCATTTCACAAGCTGTAGTGCGCCCCAGCAGTGAGAACTGGACACTGATAGGTGGGGTCTCCAGGCTGGCTCTAGGTTTTACTTTGAACCAACACAGCTGGCTGTTTAGATGGGGTGTGTCTGCTGCTGGCGCTTTAAAAATCATTGTCATCAACAGCCAGTCTCCCCAGATGTGTTCTGGCACCTGTCCATGCAGGAGGTCACAGTGCCTGGGGCTGCTGTCACGGCTTAGTACACACTTGTGCATTGCAGTGAAGCCTCCAGGCTTTTGCTGAGATCTGCAGGTGCCCAGCTGAGGCCCCTGCAGCATGCCTTGGAAGCTCACTCCTTCCATAGGCTGTGTGGCTGGTTGGAAGGTCCAAGCCATAGCTAGTACAGTCTGGTGGCTCATGCCTATAATTCTAGCTGTTCGGGAGGCTGAGATCTGAGAAGGATCTTGGTTCAAAGCCAGCCAGGACAAAGAATTCAAGAGATTTGTATCCAGTTAACCAGCAAAAAGCCAGAAGTAGAGGTCTGGCCCAAATGGAAGAGCACCAACCTTGAGTAAAAAAACTGGGGTCCTAAGTTCAAGCCCCAGTATAAGTGTGTGTGTGTGTGCACGTGCGTGCGCTTGTGCGTATGTGTGCGTATGCACACACGAACCATTCTTAGACTCAGCACAGCAGGGTCTGCAGATGTCACCCAGTAATTTTGAGGGGTGACTTCTGGCTGCTCTAGTTGCTGAGCATTTGGATAGGGTGATGTCCCCACACCCACCTCAGCAAACCATGCAGCAGGTCTCTGAACAATCACAACTGCTATTTGGATGAGGAAATCTGAGCTCAGAGCAGTTAAGTAACTTGCCCAAGATCACATAGCTGATAGGCAGCAGGGCTGGGGTGTGAGCTTTCAACTCCCTGCTGCACAGTGGAGGAATGGAAACAGAAGGCCAGCACTACAGATTGTGGGCTTGCATGACGCCTTCTCTCACCCCTCACTGTTCTCCAAGCCCAGGCTGTCTGCAGCTGAGGGCCCACACTGAGGCCGTGCCCAATCTCACAGGCCGGATAATCACTCACAGTGACCCTGCCTGTTAGCCCAGCATCCGGCTCTCAAGTCTTCTGAGCCTTGGTACCCTGCCTGCTTCCCCCTGTGGTGAGCTGCCTGTCTAGTGGACTTCCTGCTCCATGGATCGTGGGATGAAACCAGGCAGGGGAGGAAGGGCCCTGTGCAGCCTGGGTTCGCTAGAAAGGACTCAGGTCACGAAGGAGAGAGACAGAAAGAAAGCCTGGATGCGGCGAGGTAATGTACCTTTCCAGTCCTGCTACCGACAAGGAGGCAGAGGCTCTGGGAGGTTAGCTCAGTCCGCATCACCAGCCAGGGCTGGCTGCTGGGATGGGCCTCCGTGTGCTATGGCAGAGCATCTCTGGGCGAGCGGGCAGGTGGAACCCCCCCAGTCCCCCGTGACTTTGCTAGTCTGAGGACCCACTCCCTGCCACCAGTGCCCCTCAATCTGGGGACAGGCGACCGGAACATGCCAGCAAGTGAGAGCTCTCAGCAGACAAACCTGGGAATCTGAACTGGAACTATCAACTGCTTTCGCTTGGGGGTCACGGAACCAACAGATTTAAATGGGGTGCTTGTGAATCACCTGTTCGGTCCACAAGGGACTGCCATCCTATTTGGCCTGTTGTTCGCCCTGGGCAGGGCTGGGCAGGGTTGGGCCACTTGGCACAGGCAGAAAGCAGTTCTGCACAAAGCAGAACTGCAAAAGCAGGTAGCTTCACCTCTGGGCACAAAGCAGCATGGAGCCTCCAGTGTCCAGGTCTTCTGATCTGAGGGTCCCCCCCAGGACGCTTCCTTGGCCCCTCTCCAGTGCTCTCCACCTCCATCCTCTGAATAGAGCCTGTCCCTACAAGTCTGAGCGGCTCTGAGCCACACCTGCTCCCCCAGAGCCAGTACCTCCGTGTTGAGGTAAACCATTCAACTTCATGACACCCAAGCTGTGGAAACTGCAAAAGAAATGTCTTTATTCTGGAACCTTTTCAATATTTACAAAGAACAAAACAAACATCTGGGCTGGGCTCACACAGTGGTGGCGGCTGAACGGGGTTGCAACTGGCAACCGGTAACTGGTAACTGGGGTGGCTGCGGGGTGGCTGGGTCCCACAGCCCGTGGTGTGCGCATGCGTACACCTGGGGGTGCTGTTAGCCCCGGGCCTGCGTGGGGACGGGCCAGCCGTGCCGGGCCCTGCAGCTCCCGGGGTGCCTGGGGGGGGCCACCTGATGGCTGGTGCTGCCCTCTCACCCCCAGAGGGAAAGGGGGAGGGGCTGGGGATGCCCAGGAGGCCATGCCACGGCCCAGCCCCTTCCTCACAAGGAGAGCTCACCAGGCCGCCCCCCACCCCCCACCCCATCCTGCAAGGACGGAGCAGGGAGTGAGCCTGTCCCTGCCCAGCTAGAGGTAGCCGAAGACATTGAAGATGGGAGGGGGCATGGCCGGCTTGGTGGGGATGGGCTTCAGGACCACGGGTCTGTACACCTTCTGCCCTGGGCCATCCACGTCCTTGCAGAAGTGGACCAGCTCTCCGGGAGAAGCCGGGCTTTTCCTCCACAGGCCCAGGCTGGGCACTGGGCTCTGAGGCAGGGTCCCCGGAGGGCCAGGGAAGATGGGCTGTCCATGGTACTGGAAGGGGCAGCAGCCCCAGGCATCCATTCGGCCCCCCAGGGACATCCCGGGCATCCCCAGCGGGTTCTTGTCAGCCGGTACCCTTGGGGACATGGGCACCGGGGTAGACTCGAGCCCCAGGGGCTCCAGGCCATGGCAAGTTTTCTTATTCTCATAGGGAGGTCCCTCCCTGGAGCCCAGGCCCCCCTCGAGCCCCACAGCATAGCTGTGGGTGGGCCTGGGCTCTTCCCAGAAGGACGCGGGCAGCTGTCTTTTCCTCATGGGCACCTGGCCAGGCTTGGCGGCTTCTGGACTCTGCCCGTGGAGGGCGAGCTCCGTGGGGAGGCATTCCTGCCGGAAGGGGTGCCCCAGAGCCTTCTCCTTGTAGCCCCCACTCCCGCTGGGGCTGCAGTCAGGGCCCAGGTGGAGGGGCAGCCTTCTGGGCCGGTCCTCGGGCCCCCTTTTCAGGTGGGGCTCAGCCCCCCGGCCGGGAAGGCCCCTGGGGAGCCGGGAGTACTTCTGGGAGAAGCGCTTGAGCTGCTTCTGCAGGTACTTGCGGTGGTCCACGGAGCGGCGGCACGGCGCCGACTTGTCCAGAGCGGCCTTGATGTCGCTGGACGCCAGGTTCACGAAGTTCAGTAACATCTTCACGTCACTGTCGGCCGCCATCACCAGGGGGCCACGGCGCGGGCCTTTCCATGAAGAGGGCGGGCTCTGCTGGGGGCTGGGAGCTCCAAGGAGGGCGCAGAGCTGACCTGGGGGACACAACAGGCCATTGGATGCAAATGGAGGTGCCTACCCCCCCCCCACACACACATACACCTCAGCCTTCCACAGAGCCCTGAGCAGGGAGCATCTGTTAAGCCTTGACACACATCCTGTGCACCTGAGAGATGGGACAATTCCTAACAGCCTTCTGGGATCTGTGACCCTCTTCTTGCTCAGAGATGTCAAGCAACTTGCCCGAGGTGGTCCAGCTCTACATGGCATCGTTGGGCTAGACTCCTAGGCTGCCACACCTCCCGCACACTACCCTGCCAACTTGCCAGCAATGTTATTTGGTTTTGGTTTTTTTTTTCTTCTTCTTCTCTGAGCTGACACAACTGCTTCACTTTAAAGGCCAAGCCCCCTTCCTCCTGGGGGTAGCCGCCCCTCCCAGCAGCCCGCCCCCTCGAGTCCCCACGCTCCACCCCCGGCTCTCAGGCAGGACCAGGCAGGACCCCTGTCTAGCACTTAATCGAGACCTGCCCTGCAGACTGATCTCAGGCTGTGGGCAGCGGGGCCTCCCCAGGAGGAGCAGCTGCAGCGATTTCATGCCTCCGGGGGGCCCCCACCCGCAGCCCCGCGCCCCTCCCCCAGGCCCCTGGCCGGCCCGCTTCCCCCTGCCCCCCACACCTGGGGTCGGGCCTCCACACTGACCGAAGGTGTGGCCGGGGGGGCCCCACCAACGTGGCCCGACAGGTTTCCCCCGCAGACCTGGGCCGGCCCGGTGGCGCCGCGCGCGCGCTCCGTGTCCAGGAGCAGTTGTGCAGCCCTTGAGTGGACTGAATGGAGGACAAGCCCAGAGCTGGGGGGCCCTCAGGCCAATCAGGAGCGCCTCTCCAGATACAAAGCATCCCAACCCGCCGGCGGCGCCCCGTTCCCACATTCTTTGCCGTCACAAATTGTCACCATGGGGACCATCACAAAAAAGACAGCTCCAAATGCAATCATTTCCCGGTAAATTTCTGGCCTTCAAACCAGGCTCTCCTGGGCCTCCAACACCCCTCCTCCCCTCGACCTCCCTTCCCTGCTCCTCAAGGGGGTGGCGTGTACGCGTGTATGCATGCGTGTGTGAGTGTTTAAAAGGTCCAGGGACGGGCGCAGGGGAGAAGGGCTTGCACAACTCCTCCTCTCCCTCCCCCCCCCCAAGAGTCCAGGCCGACAGCTGCCATGGTCCAGTGCAGACAGACAATCGGACGGGGTAAGGCAGGGCGGGCTGTTTTCCCTGCTGTCCTTGAGTGTTGAGTGGCTCTCTGTCTGTCTCTGTCTTTGTCTCTCTC